TACCACAATCAAAAAATTATGGAGAGCATCAAGATTTCCCGAGGCCAGATGGTCGAATAAGTCGTGTTCCGTCAACTCAAAAGATATATTATAAGAGAGCGCTGTTCATAACCGTCCCTCAAACATAACAAACGCTTGTTTGACGAGATAGCGATTTCCAATGTGGACAAAGAAGACTATCTCGATTTGGAATTGAGAAAAGCGACTTAAGGCCTCGAAGGCAAATTCGCAACTAAATCAAAATGAGTTCAAGGTTTCTAGAGGTACATGCAAAACACTTCAGGGGTTCTCGAGGATTTACTGATGGTTCTGATGTGCCTGATTGATCGAAGCGAATGTGTAATGATGCCGAACCTCAGCTTTTACTTGTGCAACATCTTGGTTTTACGGAACTTGGACTTCAAAAAGCTATCGTGGAAAGTATCTAGTAGAAGCTACTGGCTTACGCCGCCTACTTGGAACGACAAAAACATGTTGGTTTCCTCACCAGTACAAATTAGTAGAAATCAGCATTCTGTATTACACAAAATGTTTGCAACTCCATATAAGTTGTCACATTTGCTTGCGGGAACACCATACTTTAACGTCCTTTTCTTAATTCCGGGGGTGCATGCTGAAGGTACATACAAGTACCTTCATGTAATGGCTGTGTAGCACATTTATACGGACGATTTACGACTGATTGTCGGACTGGCAACGAGGTCGACCTAGTGAAGCAGAGATACCGTGCACCTTGGACAAAAGTGCTTCTGACCAAAGTGTCTACGTATACAACGCGCAAAATTTGAGCTCCTATGCTCCAACCAGAAGCGGGATATAGAGCCTCTAAAGTATCTATTTCATTAGGCTGCTTTTAATTTATGCTTATTTTGTTTAAACTGCTACAAAATGTACACCTCTAGTGGTATCATACCATTAAAGTATCTGAATCGTTTGACGTGAAGCTAACAGCCCTTGCGCTTTATTGACCTCTCCTTTGCAGACTCGATTTTACCAATACTTTGTTATTCGGCTTATTGATAAACTATATTTGAGTTTTTGCCGATAGTTTATATATCTATGACACCACAACCCCCATCACTCACGATACACAAAGGTACATTATAAATTTTGTACACGTGCAGAGTGCATACACATTGTACTTCAATACACTTCATTGATCATGAATTCAGTATTCCCTTAGGTCTATTTCAAAGAAAGAATAAATACATCCGCTTTACTGTAACGGAGTCACACGTACCCAGAGTGTAACAGGGTTACACGTGCCATTGTATGAAAGGTGGGTCACTCAAGATAGTGTGACCGTACAAAGGTGTGAATACACAAGATGGTGTAATCACACAATGGTGTGGCTACACCGTAACAAGAAGCCACTACATGGCAGGACTGCCAGTAGTTATGCATATTAATAAGGTTTCACTATTAAATCAGGAAAGCCTAAGGTTTCGGATATAGGCGGCTCTGCCGCAAATAAAACATTTATATAAAGATCCAATTCGAACAGAAGAGTTGATTTGCCTTGATTAAGGTTCTGGGCACTCTTGAAGGTAGCGATTTGCGATCCGCAACGCTCGTACTGGTTCTGGTAAAGAACGTAAGGTCGGTGACTTTAGCAAGCTTCCTCTAAGCAAAAAACTATGGCAACCCCGCTGCACTTCGTAGCACTAGTAGTCAATCGACACCTGCGTGTTACGACTGATTTTCTGTGAGGATGAAGCAATTTTCCTGATTGCTTTAGGGCATGCAGGACGGGCTTAGTAAGACGATGTTCCTGCTTGGCCCTAAGGGCGTATAAATCTTTTTTTTCAAGACCTGAAGCGATAAGCGCTCGCCTAGAGTTTCGAGCTATAAAAATGCTCTGCTAGAGCACCTAGATAAGACGATAACGACATTGATTGCGTCTATGACGCCACCGTCGAAACCCGGGCTGCTCATGGCGAACGCTAAGACTTTCGAGGGTAAGGGTGAAGAGAATCTCCTGCTCCATGTGAGAGAGGCCGAGATGGCTTTGACATCCGCCATGCTCCAGAACGAGCAGCAGCGCGTGGCGCTAGCTATTTCCAAGCTCGGCGGCCGAGCGCGAGAATGGGCACAAACGTACGGTATTTCGTTGAAGCGGCGTTCCCCTCCTGGAAGGAGCTGAAGCGTCATTTTTTGCAAGTGTTCTCGCCGCATTCCCAGGTATATCGCGAGTGATCGCGCTTCCTTACCTTCCGACAGGGCAAGAAGAAGTTAACTGACCTTGTCTAAGAGTTGAGAACTCTCATTACCGAGATGGCAGCCGATCCCCCCCCCCCCC